ATATATAAATATAAAATGGGTTTTAAAGTTATGAGATAAAATATTTTGATTAAGAATTTCCAAAAAGCTTGATTATAATTTTGGCATGGTAAAAAAGTTATCGAAAACAGTAAAACTGCATGTATTGTGTGTCAAATCAAACAAAGATACAATTTATAGTTCTGTAAAATAACTTTATAGGAAGTTTTAAAAGAATGTAGGGAAAACAGAAATCAGTAATTGAAATCTACAAAAAAGGTAAGCACACTTAATTGTTTCTTAAGAAAACATTATGATGAAATCTTCTTGGATTTTCAAAGCTGCAAATTCCTATAAATATCATGTATATAAATAAAATATTTATTTGCAAAAGCTACATAATAATCTGTAAAAAGTAATTCTGAAGTCTGAAACAAACTATTTCATCATAGTTTTTTGCAATTCAATTAAACAAATCATACAACAGGTGTATTGAATCGATGCACCCAAGTCTAACAGAGTTAAGTGTTTCCAAGTTACAAAAATTGCTGGAATCCATTTTTTTAATATTTAGAAAATCATTTAACTTTTTTCATAAGTCCCCACACCTTAATTGCTTCTCCTGCTTTTTAACAATGGTATTGCAGTGATATTCCACAAAATCAGGTTTTGTTGGAGAATATCCATGACAATTTTGTTAGAATTATCTTTGCAACTTTCCATAAGTTTCAAGAAAACCTAAAGGCACACAGGAGTATCTACAAAGGAATTAACTTTGTATTATATTTCCAATTTCTCTGGCAAACATTCTCCTGAAAACATCCACTGATTTCAAGTTGTGAATGTAAGCCTTTATCAACTTCAAATCCTGTTAGCAGTAATGGGAGATATGACTAGGTTTGCTGCAGTGGCTTTTGAGATCAGAGGTTCTCTTTTATAACCAGTTCAGATGTGAGCATCGTTCTGGATTGGTTTGAGATGTGATTTCCTAAATACGCTGCTGCACAATGCTAACATTTTCCTTACCTGAAAATGTATGTCCAATAGATACTTACCTCTCTAAACACAGTAGTTACTTCTTATGCATCTTTATTTTGAGGTTTTGCATGTCACTAGCTTTGAAGTATCTTCTACTTAAGTCGTGTTTTGACAAATAATGCACAAGTACATGATGTAATCATCTTGCAGCAATAGCCCTTCACCAATAGCAGAGTATTACATCTTCCCTGTACACTAGATCTTCATAAGCAATTGTGCTCAAAAATTAACTTCATTCTTAGATGAAGCAAGAATAGTGTGTATTGGTAGTGAAGAGGAAAGGTAGGAAGGTGTGAAGAGAGGTGTCTATAGGAAATACATTTACAGGAGAGGAAAATGTTAATTTCCAAAATAATTCACTTACTTCTGTGCTGAAAGTAGCTAGAATCCTATATTGATGCAGTGGAGGGGCTGGTGCAAAAGAGAAAACCTAGATGAGCTCCCTACAGGTTAGGCATATGAAGGGAAAAGCCAGTGAAGCATGGCATCCAATAGCAAGAGCTTACTAGAGGGGCAACACTTGTGGGAGATTGCATACTTTTCAGGCTGGATATACTTTTTGCCCAGATGGAAGTATGAAAGGAGGAAGGCAAAATAAGCCAATGTTTCACAGGAATGAGCAGAAGAATACATGACCAACTGAGCACTTGCACACAACAGGTTGGATGAACATGAGGTTTAGTGTGGATAGAGCAATGACCAGACCATATGGTTTGGTACGTGTTTTGTTGTACAACTTACCATACATATAAGAATGGGGACTAAGGTCACTTCCTGCCTCCTAAAGAGAGCACTTTACTCAACCTGATTGGTCAAAACTATAAGTAAATTGGCATACCATACAACAGGGGGTGACCAGTGCTACACATAAGACACCTTTGCCCTACTTCCCACAGCATTGTGCTGCCCAGTTACTCTCTCTCCAGAGGGACTGTACAACCACTGAGAAACACTCCATGTTGACCACCCCAGTGGACCTGATGGGGCATAACTAGTGCAAAGGTTATTTACTGGAAGAACCTGCGAAGGGCAATGGGTTACTATTCAACATATTTTGAAAAACCACCATGCATGAGCAAGGGAAGTGGGTAGGCACTCCCCCAGTCTGGCTTTTACCATGATAGTCCATGGAAGATATGGTCTTGAATGGACATCGATATATAAATATACCATCTTATTGATTTTGAGGAAACCCCATTTCAACAGTAGAATCATTAAAATCATGGCAAATGAGCTTAACACTTTCTGCTACCTCTAACTCAGTGCACATTTAGGGGATTACATATATTGAGAATTACATAGGAATTGAGAATCAGGTCTGACCTCATAATGATAAGGGAGACAAGAAACCAAGAAAGTAAGCAAAGATTGGTATCAAGTAGCCTCTGCTTGAGTCTCCAAGATGTTAAAAAAAAAGGTGAAGGAAAAGAGCCAGATATAAGTCATGAAAGTAAGAATGGGGAGAACTGATGGTAAAGAAAAGAACATCAAATCCTAGAAGGTCCCAATAACATAGTAACCATGTAAGAAGGGACAAGGCTGAAGACAAAATCCTGTCCAAGGCACTGAAGAGGATCAAATTTAGATCCACATAAACAATTATCAATATTATGGTGTAAGGCTTCAGCCAGGAGAAAAAGAAAGGACAGGTAACAAAGGAGATAGGTAAGAAGAAGGAAAGATTGGAAAATTGTGCATTAGATGTAAAAACTACAGTCAGGGGGGTAGGGGGGTCAGTACTCCAAGCAGGTAAAAGGGACTCTAGGGATACAGATTCTAGGAAGGTGCATGGAGGACAGCCATAAGCCATGCCAAAGGAATTCTGGAGTCAAGAAGGATGAAGCATTTGAGATTGGAATTAAGCTGTTCTAGGAACATGCCAACATGGACACATGAGTTTGGTGAAGAAAGAAAGAGAAAATAATCCTCACCAATAAGAGTCATGTAGCGAGGAATAAGAAGAACCAAAGAACAAGGCAGAAAGGAAAAGCAAGGTACAAGCCTGATTAATAAAATCTACAGATATATTTGAAGGAGGAAAGAGGAGATTATGGCAATATCAGAAGTTGGAAAAAGCTGATCAAAGTCATCGTTGTCCTGGTTATCATGTTAAAAAAAACAGAACACACAGCACACCCAGGGACAGGAAGACAAGACAAGGAAAGCAGCAAAGATTGCATAACACAAACTATGATGGTAACATCTTCCACAGTCAATGAGCCTTCAGTGGCCACAGACATAGCAGGAGCAGTGACAGTAACATTGTCTGAACCTTGGGAGGAGGTAACAAATGCTTGAGAGTTCATGTTGACTAACTACCGACAAGTAAGTATCCAGAAAAATATAAAAGCTTAAGTTTTTTGTTATTGTATCTTTAAATTTAAAATTCAAACAAACTGTAAGACTAGAAACAAGAAGAATCTGGGCTTAAGCAAAAGAAAGTTAAAAGTTAGTACAAACCTCATGAAATTGTTTAAGTCTAAGAAACACATCCATTAAAGACAGTGCTGAGAATAAAAATTAAGTTAATTTTGAATGGAAATGATTATGTGGATCTACTGCATATGGAGGATGTGTCATACTCCTATTGGTGGAGGGCTATTGCCACATGATGATCACATCATGTACTAGCACAGTCCATGTCAAGACACGTGAATTAGATGGGAGATGATTTAAGGCTAGTGACGTGCAAAACCTCAAAGTCAGATGTGCAAGGAATCGTTACTGTGTGCAGATTGTTTCATAGCTGTCCATTTCTATTGAGATCAATAAAGACCTTCTTTTTTGAAATAGTGTGTCCTTTGGTTTCAAATAATTTAACTTCACTGCATATACATATATCTTTCCCTTTACAAAAGGCTGGCACATACTTATCCAGTCAAAAAGATTTTTTTTTTCATATCTTAGATCTTTCACACGCTCCCAATTTAGCAAATGATTACCTCTTACAATGAAGTCCAGAAATAATCAAATTTTTATGAAAATAATACTTACAATGCTTACAAAGAACTGGAGTCAGGAAAAATGTTTCTATCAGTTTATGCTGGGTGCTCTGACGTCTTAAAACAAATGCAGCTAGAAAAAAATTAATAGGATTTATAGGTTAATTGTATTATTATTATTATAATAAAATATAATGATCAACAACTTTGATGAAAGATAATCATAGTTAGTAATCTTCTAATTACATATAACCCCCATATTGTGAATAATGAACCAGACTTTAGTCAAAAAGATGCAGAATTGATTTCTGGCCATTACTAACAGCAAACAGTTCTGCTCAGGGATTCCCTGAAGACAGCAACTGATTATCAGCTAAAATTTAGGATAGAAACTAAAAATGAATTGCTAATCAATAATTAGACTTAGATGATTGTATAGGCTATTAACCATGATAACAAGAGAATGATGTGAACTTGTGAGAGGATAGGTCACTGGAAGCATGAATAATCAACCAGTCAAATAGTTTTAATAAATTATGTGCATGTTTTACAATTACAGGATATAATAACTTGATTGTACAAAATAAAATAATTCTGATAAAACTAAATATTTATTAGAGCAGAGGTTCACAATTTGTCTATGATGACAAGGAACCCACTTGAAGTAAATATATATATAGTAGAGACAGCTGATATGGGTATAGAAAACTTATATTTCAAAAGCACAAAACAAATAACATTTCAACCTCCTTAGGTTATCATCAGGTTGAGAATGAGATTTGAAAGAGTGACCATTATTGATCACGTGTCATGGAGATGACAGTAATGATAGGTGTAAGATTATAGGGGGAGTAATGAGTTCACTAGTGAATACAAAAAATATCAATAACTAGCATTTCTAAACCTCAAGATCACAGGAACAAAGTAAAAGAATTCTCATAAAACTAAATATTTATTAGAGCTGAGGTTCACAATTTGTGTTCCACAGAAAGGTTGTGTACCTACAAAAAGGATGTTCAATCATACATCCCATTATAAATCCAAAATCTTAGACCTTAAAAATTTGGTTGAAGAAGAAATATATGTAACTTTGTATACATGGAAAGTATCTCACGTGAAAGAGGACTAAATTCTACCTTATGTAGCTTAGAAGTTAAAAGTGAGTGTTTAAAAAATAGTAAGTTCCTTAGTTTACTGCATGGTGGTCCACATACCAAAACAGCTTCAAAACAATTGTGTAAGAACATAACAAATATCCACTCATAAGAATAGTAGTGGTAGAAAAGATCTTTGAAACAAATTCCCTGCAACATTAGATCATCTAGCACAGTCTCATGTGAACAGGCAACACTGGTAAAGTCTTTATACAGTATTCTCTATGAATATATGTGCTTCATAAGACTTAACTTGTATTGCCCTATTTATTGAGGCAAATGAACGCTGCTGCTACGAGTGCCCAATAGGCAACTTCAGGGCAGAAAGAATTAAACTGTAACCGTGTTCACTACAGCAGGCCCACTTACTTTAAGTATAAAATTTAAAGACAACATTGAATTTATTAGTCAATATAAGCTGCTGCATGCACGTAATAAAATAAATGAAAAACTCAAAGCCAGCCCTTATCATCTAAACATTTATCAAGCATTCCATTTAAATTTACTACATCTACCACATCTGAAAGCAACCCATTCTAAAGACCAACTGCCCTATTAGAAAAATATAACTGTTTTAGCTGAAGTCACCTATTCTGACAAAATTTATATAAATCTGGGTCCCCCAGTTCTTCCATTCTCTCCATTAATTATGAAAAATGACTAGCAGTTTCATTAACAATCTTAAACACATCAATGAGATCATTACTAATTCTTCTTTTTTCAACATAAAACAAATTCAGAAATCTTCATTTCTCCTCATATGACAACCTTTTCATCCCATGTATCATCCTAGTAACTCTCCTCCGAATCCTTTCCAATAATACAATGTTCTTCCTAAGGTAAAGAGCCTAAGACTGAGCCCAACACTCCAAATGAGGCCTAACCAGTGACTTATACAATGAAAGTATACATTCTTTAGCTATATTCAATATTTCTGTACTTACAACCTAAAATCCTATTTGTCTTGCCCCTAACAACAGCAAACTGCTTGGATAGCTTAAGACTAAACCAGAACACAAAGATCCTTTTATTCTGCAAAAACATTAAGGTTTTCAGATCAAAATTATACTTATAATTTAAATTAAGATAATACACATGCATTACCTTGTTTTTAATATAATTAAAAGCTGTCTGCCATTTATTCACCCAACTCACCAAATAATCTAAATCCTTTTGTAAAGCAGCGGGATCCACCTCAAAGTTTGCAACACCAAAGAATTTGACATCATCAGCAAATTCAAGTACTTTATTAACCATTGCTTTAGCTATCTGTCATAAATTTAAATCAAAAAAAGAGTAAAGATCCTAACACTGTGCCCTGAGGACCTATGACAGTAATCTAATTTGACTGAACTATATTTATAACAACCTTTTGCTTTCTTCCGTCCAGCCATTTTTTCATCCAATGAGCTAATTTATGCCACAAACCTAAAAAGTAATTTTTTAACAAGCTTTTTACCCAGCACCTTGTCAAATGGTTTTTGAAAATCCAAATGCACCAAATCCACACCCTTTCCCTCATCTACATAAGGAGTAACTACTCCAAAGAATGTCTGATTAGTAAACAAGATTTTCCACTATTGAAACCATGTTGACTATCCAAAAAAATTTAAACCTTGTTAAATGACTTTGCAAAGCATCTTTCATCAGACTTTCAAAAACTTTTTCCACCATGGATGTAGGACTCATATGATTATAATTATCGAGACAGTTTTTATCAGCATCTTTTCTAAGGAACAACTGGATAATGAGCTGTTTGTCGTCTCTCCTTATCTCGGCATGTACTCAGACATGCATAGTTTAATCTTTGAGACAAGCATATGACTAATGGCATGATCATCAAAGTTTCTTCCAAGGACTTTTCTCAACATTTCATAGTTCAATTGCATTACTAGCATGACTCAAAGGTCAATCTCCATCTATGGATTCAAGAATATTAACCCAATTCAGTGGTAGGACTAGTCTTTTAACAAATGTACTGCCCCATCCAAACTCCCCACCTGACACTGTCCTCAGAGCAGATCACAACAGATGCAGGAAAATATGTGGTTTCTCCATGAACTACATATAAGTATATTTACTCATCATAATTACAAACTTGCTATTTATAGCAAGATATCATTATACATAGTGATAAGAATCAGAGTTTGAGTCCAACATCGATAATCATTTTTCTTCATATCTTGCAATTTCATTAGTGTTAACTACACAAGTAGCATGCTATTGCTAAGTTAGAACCAACTGTTAAAAAATAAATATTTAATTTTAAATGTAAAATAATGTAAATACAGTATATTAGTAAGCACTTGACACACAATTAATCTCATGCTGTGATCTAGTAATAGTCCAATGATGTTATGTAAGCCAACATTGATTTATAACCTTAGTGAACAACACCATGCCAACACCACCATGAGTTTTTTAACATACAAAACTGCAATGTTTAAAATTAGAATTATTTTCTTTGTATGGAGAAATGATAATCCTAATTTGTTTTTGGTTTCCTAATATATTCAATAAACTAATTATAGTTTTGAGCTGTAACTGTCAATATATAACTATTAAATGAACTTGAGTATTCAGTACATTCTTGTTTACACAGCATAATTCCAAAAACATGAACTTGTAAGATAATTTCATTATAGCAACACATTATTAAAACAAAACAGACAGTTATTTGGTGTAATGACTGGTAATATAATTTATTTAAAATACACTATATTAAAACTGCAGAGCTGTATGCAGTACTGGCTTTGTTGTTGTTAGAGAGCTGGAGATGATTTATAAAATTATTTTTTTCATGTAACTTAGATTAAATCGAGTAAAAGGCAATGTATGCGATTAATCAATTAACAAATTCCATTAATCAATCAGCTCTACTTAGGGTCAGGGTTTGGTTCAAAGTTTCATCAATTAGAAAATAGCATACACTTAAAAAATTCTAAAATGTTTTTTTTAGGATTACTACCTTCAATTTCTGTACAAATTCCTTTAGTTTTCAAAATGACAATGTACTTATTTTAGTTCTCCATTTAACAAAACATCATATATTTTGTACACATGTTCATTTAATAAATACAAATATGTGTTACATTCATATTAAGATGGTCTTTAATAAATAAGTTCTTTTTCATTCCACAAATAATCAAAAATTTATTTAAAGAGAGCCCAATATTATCAGTAGAAATATAGAAAACAAAAACAAGGTAAAGAAACTGGATATTACTGATAACCAAATGCATCTACTTACAAGAAGCTTCAACATAATCCGGATCAATTTCACTTTCAGCCATGTTGGTGTTCATAGGAACTAAAATGAAAATCTACTAATTTCCCATTCAACAATGTATCTGCAGCCACATAACAATTTTATCTTTGTAGTGATGTTGTTGAATTGGTAAAGGACTCCTCAAAAATTCAAAGTTGCCCAGAAAATTCCCAATAATACCCGTTCTCTTTTTACTTTCCAAAACAGGACCCTTAGGTTTATCTTTTGTCCCATAAAGATGAAACTGAAATGGTTTTCTCACTTTCACAGTGAAACATTGCTTAGCTAAAGTGTTCCAGTGTTATTATATTTATTGATGATCAATAATAAGTCAATTCAATCATAAAAGTAATAAAGCTTGCTTCTTTCAAAGATGTATCTTCCTTGTGTCTCATTCCCTGTTCACTATCTACAAGTACACTCTGTTCATGCAAGCACACATTTTTGTATTATATTTTCCAGACAGTAATTAAATTATACAATATTTCATTTTTCCTTTTCTTTGGACATTGTTTGATGAAATCATTTTTTTTTTTCATTTGCCAATTAAATTAGTTTTAAAAGGCATACTAATAAGAGTCTTGTTTACTACTTCTTGCAATGCAATTTAACATAGGAAAGAATCACTGGAGAGATCTCAGGCTGAGAGAGAGAGAGATATACAAATGACAAAAGCCATCCAGAAGTAACATGCAGCTCTTTGTAGCAATTCTTCAGAGTTAAGAAGACCTGAAAAAAAAAAAGTAATAATTAACTTACAGCTATGTATATGTATTAACTACACAGACATTCATGCAAATGATACTTTATTGTCCAGATTGTGTGTCAAAACATGAATTTCTCATTATATGTAGGAACACGTAAACTATACATATATTCAAAGATAATGTTATTTGTATGTATTTGTAAGCGACACAGAAATTATAACTGGTTTTGACCTAAAGCCTATTCTACCAGTTTTACATATAGAGGCTATTTAAACCTGCATAAGTTCAATCTTCACTTTTAGCTGAGAAACAACAATCTTGCAGCTAAGAGGTAACTTCAATCTCCATGTTTTATTACCAGTTCTACTGGTAAAAAATTCCCTTTGGGTCTAGTATTCAATTTTCGCTGAAGCAGTTTAAATATCAAGGCTTCTTAATAATTTGAGTGTAATAAGGTTACAGTGCATTTAAAGACTTTGTTTACTTTATGTCACCTTTTTATAGATAGCTACAGGTTTATCAGTATCTCCTGTTTTGCATCTGTTATGAAGCACACTATAAAAGACAAGAGAATACAGACAGCAGAATCTTACTGAAAAGGAATTAAATCAAGAAGAATATGGTGATGACATCTTGGAAATTTTTCATCTTTACTTCAGAATATCAATTCTTTACATTTGGTCTTATAAGATGTCTGATGATGCACTTGTGACATATTTTGATTTGACTGACAATGATCAACATGCAATGCCACCAGAACTACATACACAATCAATGAAATTTTACTACCAGAATGATTCACATCCAACTCAACACATTCCCACCACACATCTTATAAAACCAACTCTTCTTCTGACTTCATAATGAATGACTTCCAAAATGTTATCGCCTTAGCCTTCTATATTTAAACCCTTCTCAGTAGATTTCTTCTATTTGTGTAAAGAAGCTGTTGCCCATTTCCCCCTTTGTTTCAATGTGAATACACTACTTAAATCATCAGTTAAAGGACAAGGGAATACAGTACACAGTTGACAACTATTTATCCCATACAAAAAACTACCTATTACTGAAGGTACTAAACATTTCAGACAATCACCCTTCAAACACCACTGCATAAAACAAACACAACATAGTTTAAGTGAACTGTTTATGAAATACAATGTTAATGACATGTTTAGATATATCTTTAAAACAAACTCTATTTAAACTGATACTCCAAGTTAGATGAATGTGTATAAATGTGACCTTAATACAAGAAGAAAATCTCAAATATTATGTCACATGCACCTAGAAAATACTAAAGTGAAATAAAGAATATGTATCATTGGTTACTGTTTATAACATGTACCAGTCACAATCTTTCTGTACAAATGAAACAAACACAAAAACACTGTAATACTCTTCAAGGCAGCAATAGGCAATTTACATGTAAATAACAATAAATAGTTTTGCCTTTTAAGTTAAAACTCTTAACTCTCTATTTCAGATATTGAGATATGTTAGGCACACAAGTCAAGACGTAAAATAACAAATAGAATTTCCACTAACCCATTACAGATAAGTATCTGACTTGTTTTGTCTCTAAATTTAATTTAAAATTTTCTTCAAATTACTGAATCCTTAGTTTATAGCTTGTTTGGTTAGCTATATTCCTTACAAAAGGAAGAATATCAAACTCTACATTTAATAACTTGTTCATCTAAAAATCTATTTCTAAGCTTATTTCATCTTGTTACTGATTAATATCACCTAAATCTACTCTCTCTAAGTTATTATGAATAACAAAGAATACACCAAACTAAAAAAAGACAGAGTTAGAATAATCAAATAAAGTAATAACTACAAACATTTTTTTTAAAGATGCATATTATTTTTTGTGTAAAAATAAATATTACATAAAAATAAAGCATTGAAACTATTATAAAAGACATGTACCATAATGTCAAATTATTGTTTACATATACATCAAATCAATAGCCCACCATTAAACACTATAACAAAGCCACATAATAAACTTAAAGGATGCACAATTATTTTTCTTTGTTAAAAATGGATATATTTTTAAGAAAAAAAGAGAAAGGGAGAGGCTACAAATAGTAAGTAAACAAATGCCACTTGTGCAACTAGTGGGAACTTCCTTTATTTCTCCATAAGTTTTGCATTTAGCAGTAATTACAAAGTATATAATGTTAATATAATCAAATGACAACAGTATTAGGTTTGCTGCAGTTTTAAACACCATACTTTTTATAAGCTGGCAAAGTTCAATTATAATTATCATTAGGCATTCAAACTATAGCAAATGCTATAAATAAGATAAATAATATCTACCAGTAGTTTATTGTGCTTACACATCAGTACTGTGTTTATTCCAGACACCATCTGATAAAGCATGATCTCTAGTATTCTTAAAGTTTCAGAATATTCCTTTCAACATATACAAGTACATATAGATGTAGGACAAGTAGACACTGCTTAAAAAACTGCTTTTATAGTTATACTCTGTTCACAAGTTTCTTCAACATTGAAGTTTCTTTTTTACTCCAAAAACATATTACAAATATTCACAGTAATTTGTGTGATGATGTTTGTCATTTTACATAATGTGTAGAGTGAACCATTTACAAGATCAATAAAACACACTAGTCATTTCTTTTCTGTTTCTGCTGTTTGATACAAATTGTCTGGCAGAGCTATCAATCATATCTTTGACAAGCACACATGATCTACAACATCTACATTTACTAATAAAATGCATAAATGGTTGAAGATATAGGCACTTTTATTATTGTATGCTATTTGACTTCAAAGCAAGACTGTAATCAATTATATTTATCATAAGAACACAGTATTTGTCCTATTGTATTTTTAAACAGAACATTCTTTATTTAGTCACTTATAACAGTATTTCAACTATACAGGTTACATTTGACATGTATGGTGGTTGAAATAATAGGTATTATACAGTTATCTACTGTTGAAATATCTTTATACATTCTTATTCTCAGTAAACCCCAAAGGGACTGAATAAGAAACACTTTAAAAATACAATAACCCTAAAACTATTGTATTACAACAATTGATTATAGGCAATTTTCCTTGTTCAAACTGATATATTGTTGGCTAGTTATTGTAGAAAGTTTCATGGTTTCATATTTCTAGAACCATTTTCTAATGGATTAAACTGCTATGCTTTAAAATTTCTAAATCTTTAACTGTATTCAGCTTTTGTACCTTTGTGTCCTTGTGCCAAGTTTTGTTTCTGTTGGTCATGGGAAAACAAACATTTTTTTTAAATGTAGACTAAGTAAGGATATTGGCTTTCATGAGTTGACTTTTCATATTTCCAAACTTTAATTCTTCAATTCAACCACTTAATAAAAATTGGAACATACATCCCTTTTCAGCTTCATCAAACTAACAAAAAATCTATATCCACATCCTCACATGTTATGATGTTTCTGTGAAAATGAAACTGGATCCCTGTTCCCTGTGAATTTGTTATATCTCTAACAGTATAAGAATAACACAGTATAACTTATAAATTAACAACGATTGATAGTACTATAGTATAGGACAAATGAGAATAATACTAATACCAGTAGTAATAGTAATACTAATAAGCAAATTAAGATCCAAGCAAGCACTACTTACAATTCATAACAGAATGTCAAAGAAATGGCGTCCACATTTTATTTTATAATGAAGGACACAATATGATTTTCTAAAAAATAAATGATTGTATTTGTATCATAAAGTAACAAGTACTAAATACTGCTAGTACTACTACTACTACTAGTAGAAGTAGTAGTTCGCTGATACAAACCATACGTAAATAATAAATGTTTAACTCTAAGGTGTAGATTTTATTTAAATATACGCACCTTTAGACTTTAATAGCGAAAGTGGTTTTTAGGTTATTTAATATTAGTATTAGCAAAAAACTTCTCTGTAGCGCGAAAACGATCTAAAAACTTGATAGAAGGTGTCTCAGATTTTCCACGAGGTACATTGAATAATATAAATTATGGAAACAAACATATTTTGCAACACCCCCTATTGTACGTTTGAAATATTATTTTCTTGATTCTAACGCATAGTGAAGAATCACCCCTATAATTTTGAAAAACAGAAAAACTCAGATTTTTTGTTGAAGTTATTAATCCTATTTGATATTCTGCTTTTTATCAAAAATTAAAGAGTTATTCAGAAGCTTGTAATGCAGGGAAATAGGTGTTTGAATATTATCAGTAATTGTATTTATACAATAGAAATACGAATTTTAATAGCTAGAAGAAGTGAAAAAACAAGACAGAGTAAAATACTTTAATATCCCCTTACCTCGGACTTCATATAATGTTTGCTCAATCTATTATTCTAGCTATTGAAACTTTTACGTTATTTTGAACTTGAATTTATTTTCTGTCATTAAACCTTTGGTTTACAATCATTTCACCAATGACTACGTGTAACTATAGACATTAAAGTAGATATCGGTGTGGTATTCTCAGGAGAACTGATTTCTACATACAATGAGATAAATAGATCCGTCAAAAGCAATGGAATCGACCGGAAAATTTGTGTATTAGACAGTGTTTTAAATATTGACTGAGTTTACTTGTCTGAGGAATGGTAAGTTTGTTCCGTCTCCGTTTGTTAATTAACTTTCCGTAACTTCGTTCCGACGAAACTTTTAGCGACACAAAGTCCTTACTTAATAAAACTGGTTTATTCTTTCCGAATATAACTTTACGATACACTTAAATTTCAACAATTCGCGCTTAAAAACAA